CATCCCTTCAGCTCCTACCCCTGTTCCTTTAGCTCCTACCCCATCCCTTCAGCTCCTATCCCTGTTCCTTCAGCTCCTACCACCATCCCGTCAGCTCCTACCCCTGTTCCTTTAGCTCCTACCCCATCCCTTCAGCTCCTATTCCTGTTCCTTCAGCTCCTACCGCCATCCCGTCAGCTCCTACCCCTGTTCCTTCAGCTACTGCTCTGGACCCCATTAAGGAATCTACACCTTTCCAACCTCAACAGACAGATACTTCCACTCCTTTACTTCCGGTTGCCTCGCCATCTCCCTCCACTCCCTCTTCCTCTCTCTCTCTCTCTCTCTCTCTCTCTCTCTCTCTTCCCCAACTAACTAATCCATCAGCCCTGCTGGACCATTCTTCCTGTCTGGTGCCTGGCCACAGCAGATGCCCTGTTCTGGCACCCACATTTACCTCTCCTCTCACAAACTCACGTGCTGCTATGGAACCCAACCATGACTAATCCAAGCCAGCTGCAGTTCTCCCATTGTGACGGGTGGCTGGTGAAGGTGGATTAATTAGAGTGCATGTTCTTTTCTCCCTCTCAGAACTCTCCTATATAGAACATAAACTGGGGTCCTATATATTTAATTCTACCACTTTCTTTTTTCCTTTTTTTATTGATTTTATTGAGCCCTACATTACTCTCTGCTCCCCTTTCTGCCACTCCCTTGCGCCTACAACTCTCCCTCAATGTCCCCATGCTCCCAATTTACTCAGGAGATCTTGTCTTTTTCTACTTTTAACATCCCATGTAGATTAGATCTATGTAAGTCTCTCTTAGTGTCTGCATTGTTGTCTAAGTTCTCTGGGATTGTGGTTTGTAGGCTGGCTTTCTTTGCTTTATGTTTAAAAACCACCTATGAGTGAGTACATGTGATAATTGTCTTTCTGTGTCTTGGCTATCTCACTCAAAATAATGGTTTCTAGCTCCATTCATTTTCCTGCAAAATTCAAGGCATCATTATTTTTTTATTCTGTGTAGTACTCCATTGTGTAAATGTATCACATTTTCCTTACGCATTCTTTGGTTGAGGGACATTTAGGTTGTTTCCAGGTTCTGGCTATGACAAACAAAGCTGCTATGAACATAGTTGAGCACATGTCCTTGTGGCATGATTGAGCATCCTTTGGATATACACCCAAAAGTGATATTTCTGAATCTTGAGGAAGGTTGTTTCCTAATTTTCTGAGAAATTGCCACACTGACATCCAAAGGGGTTGTACCAGCCTGCATTCCCACCAGCAATGTAGAAGTGTTCCCTTTTCCCTACAACCTCTCCAGTATAAGTTGTCATCAGTGTTTTTGATTTTGGCTATTTTTTCAGGTATAAAATGGAATCTCAGAGTTGTTTTGATTTGCATTTCTCTGATGACTAAGGATGTTGAACATTTCCTTAAGTGTCTTTCAACCATTTTAGATTCCTCTGTTGGGAGTTCTCTGTTTAGGTCTGTATTCCATTATTTATTGGATTATGTGTTCTTTTGGTGTCCAATTTCTTGAGTCCTTTGTATATTCTGAAAATCAGACCTTGGTGTGATGTGGGGTTAGTGAAGATCTTTTCCCATTCTGTAGGCTATTGTTTTGTCTTGTTGGCCATGTCCTTTGTGTTACAGAAGCTTTTCAGTTTCAAGAGGTCCCATTTATTAATTGTTTCTCTCAGTGTCTGTGCTCCTGGGGTTATATTTAGAAAGTGGTTCCCTGTGCCAATGCATTCAAGTGTACTTCCTACTTTCTCTTCTATAAGGCTCAGTGTGGCTGGCTTTATATTGAAGTCTTTGATCCATCTTGACTTGAGTTTTGTGCATGGTGATAGACATGGGTCTATTTTCATCCTTCTACATGTTGATATCCAGTTTGCCAGCACCATTTGTTAAATATGCTTTCTTTTTTCCATTTGATATTTTTTGCTTCCTTGTCAAAGATCAGGTGTTTGAAGATGTGTGGATTGATATCTGAGTCTTCTATTCAGTTCCATTGGTCCTCCTGTCTGTTCTTCTGCCAATACCAGGATGTTTTCAGTACTGTAGCTCTGTAGTAGAGTTTGAAGTCAGGAATTGTGATGCCTCCAGAAGTTTTTTTTTATTGTACAGGATTGCTTTGACTATCCTGGGTTTTTTGCTTTTTCATATGGTGTTGAGTACCATTCTTTCAAGGTCTGTGAAGAATTTTTGCTGGGATTTTGATGGGCATTGAGTTGAATCTGTAGATTGCTTTTGGTAAGATTGCCATTTTTACTATGTTAATTCTGCCTACCCAAGAGCATGGGAGATCTTTGCTCTTTCTGGTGTCTTCTTCAATTTCTTTCTTCAAAGATTTAAATTTAGTAGTAGGGATGAGCTGCATCTTGCCTCCCGGCTAGCTTAACCCACGAAATAACTACACAAACTGTATTCATTTAACACTGCCTGGCCCATTAGCTCTAACTTCTTATTGGCTAACTCTTACATATTAGTTTAACCCATCTCCATTAATGCGTATCACCACTTGACTGTGGTTTACCGGCATGAGTCTAACCAGTGTCCACCTCAGGCAGGAAAATCATGGCATCTGCCATTCTGCCCTTCTTCACAGCATTCTGTTCCGTGTATTCTGCCCACCTAAGTGCTGCCCTATCAAAAGGCCAAGGCAGTTTCTTTATTCAACCAATGAGAGCAACACATAGACAGAATTACCTACATCATTTAAAGTTTTTGTCATACAAGTCTTCCACTTGTTTGGTAAGAGTTACTCCGAGACAGTTTTGCTATTTGTAGTTGTTGTGAAGGGTGTTGATTCTCTAATTTCTTCCCCAGTCCTTTTATCATCTGTGTACAGGAGGGCTATTGATTTTTTTTTAGTTAATCTTGTATCCTGCTACATTGCTGAAAGTGTTTATGAGTTACAGAAGTTCCTTGGTAGAATTTTGAGGATCACCTATGTAAACTATCATATCATCAGCAAACAGTGAGAGTTTGATTTCTTCCTTTCCAATATGTATCCCCTTGATCTCCTTTTGGTGCATTATTGCTCTAGCTAGGACCTCAAGAACTACATTGAATAGATATGGAGAGAGTGGACAACCTTGTCTTGTTCCTGACCTCAGTGGAATCACTGGGAATTTCTCTCCACTTAGTTTGATGTTTGTAGTAAAAGGAACGGCAGGCCACTTCCCGCCACCTGGATCCTGGCTAGCTTTAACCAAAATAATTACATGGAAACTGTATTCATTTAAACACTGCCTGGCCCATTAGTTCTAGCCTCTTATTGGCTAACTCTCACATCTTGATTCAACCCATTTCTAATAATGTGTATATCAGTCTTTCTCTTCCAGTTGCAGTTGCTTCGGGAGCTGCTGGTTACCGTCCAACCATGGCCAAATCCAAGAACCATACCACACACAACCAGTTCCTGAAATGGCACAGAAATGGCATCAAGAAATCCCAGTCACAAAGATACAAATCTCTCAACGGGGTTGATCCCAAGTTCCTGAGGATCATGTGCTTTGCCAAGAAGAAAGGCCTGAAGAAGATGCAGGCAAATAATGCAAAGGCCATGAGTGCACGAGCAGAGGTCATCAAGGCCCTGGTGAAGCCCCTGGTGGTGAAGCCCAAGGTGCCAAAGGGCCCCAGCCACAAACTCAGCCGTCTTGCGTTCATTGCTCACCCCAAGCTTGGGAAGCGGATTAGAAGCTACATGGCCAGGGGTCATAGGCTCCAAAAAACAAAACCCAAGGTTCAAGCCAAGGCAGAGGCCTCAGCTGCAGCGCAGGCTCCCAAAGGTGCCCAGGCCCCTGTGAAGGCCCCATAAAAAAGGTCTCAGTCTGCCAATGTGAAGACAGATGGACTGGTGTGAATATCTATACGGTATTTTCAGATGACCAGGACCTTATGCTGTTTTTACAAATAAACTTGAGGCAAGAAAAAAAGTAATGTGTATGTCACCATGAGCTCGTGGCTTACCTGGAAAGATTCAGCATGTCTGACCTGGCAGCTTCATGGCAGGCAGCTCTCTGACCCTGCTTTCTTCCTCCCAGAATTTAGTTCTGTATTCTCTGCCCATCTAAGGGATGCCCTATCAAAGGCCAAGGCAGTTTTCTTTATTCAACCAATGAAAGCAATACATAGAAAGAAGGACCCTCCTATACCAGATGTTGGCTGCTGGTTTGCTGTATATTGCCTTAATTATGTTTAGGTATATTTCTTGTGTCCCTGCTCTCTTCAAGATGTTTATCATGAAGGGATGTTGTATTTTGTCAAAAGCTTATTCGGGATCTAATGAGATGATCATGTGGTTTATATTTTTCAGCTTGTTTATATGGTGGATTATGATGACAGATTTTCATGTGTTGAACCATCCCTGCATCTGTGGGATGAAGCCGACTGGATCATGGTGGATGATGGTTCTATGTTTTCTTGGATTCGATTTGTGAATATTTTATTTAATATTTTTGCACCAATGTTCATGAGTGAGATTGGTTGCAATTCTCTTTCTTAGTAATGTCTTTCTGTGGTTTGGGTATCAGGGTGCTTATAGCCTCAGAAAAAGAGTTTGGCAATGTTCCTTCTGTGTCTATTGTGTGGAATAATTTGAGGAGTACTGGTATTAGTTCTTCTTTGAAAGTCTTTTAGGATTCTTCACTGAAAACATCTGGTCCTTTTTTGGTTGGGAGACTTTTGGTGACTGTTTCTATTTCTTCAGCAGTTATAGGTTTGTTTAATTTGCTTATCTGGTCTTGATTTAATTTTGGTGAGTGATATTTATCCAGAAAGTTGTCCATTTCCTTTAAGTTTTCCAGTTTTGTGGAGTACAGATTTTTGAAATATGATCTAATGATTCTCTGTATTTCCTCCAGGTCTGCTGTTATATCCCCCTTTTCATTTCTGATTTTGTTAATTCAGATAGTCTCTCTCTGCCTTTTGATTAGTTTGGATAAAGATTTAATTATTTTGTTGATTTTCTCAAAGAACCAGCTCTTTGTCTCATTGATTCTTTGTATTGTTTGATATTTCTATTTTGTTGATTTCAGCTCTCACTTTTATTATTTCCTGCCATCTAGTTCTTTTAGTACGTTTGCTTCTTTTTGTTCTAGAGTTTTCAAATGTTCTGTTAATTCACTAGGGTGGGGTTTTTCCAGCTTCTTTATGTAGGTGTTTAGGACTATGAACTTGCCTCTTAACACTGCTTTCATTGTGTCTCATAAATTTAAGTATGTTGTGTGGTCATTTTCATTGAGTTTTAGGAAATTTTTAATTTCTCCCTTTATTTCTTTCTTGACCCACTGATGATTCAGGTGAGCATTGTCTAATTTCCATGTGTTTGTGGGTTTTCTGGAATTAGCATTGCTGTTGACTTCTAGTTTTAGACCACGGTCATCTGATAAGGTACATTGGGCTATACCAATTTTTTTTGTATTTGTTGAGGTTTGTTTTGTTACCGAGTATGTGGTCAAGTTTTGAGAAGGTTCCATGAGGTGCTGAGAAGAAGGTATATTCTTTTCTGTTTGGATGGAATATTCTATAGATGTCTGTTAAGTTCATTTGAGTCATAACATCTGCTAGTTCTCATATTTCTCTGTTCATCTTTTGTCTGATTAACCTGTCCAGTGGTGAGAGGGGGAGTGTTGAAGTCTCCCATTATTAGTGTGTGGGGCTTAATGTATGATTTAAGCTTTAGAAGTGTTTCTTTCACATATGAAGGTGCCCTTGTATTTGCGGCATAGATATTCAGTATTGAAATTTCCTCCTGATGAATTTTTACTGTGGCTAATATGAAGTGACCTTCTTTGTCTCTTTTGACTGAGTTTAGCTTAAAGTCTATTTTGTTATATTGTAGGATAGCTACATCTGCTTGTTTCTTAGGTCCATTTGATTGGAATATTTTTCCCAATCCTTTACTCTGAGATAATGTCTGTCTTTGAGGTTGAGATGTGTTTCTTGTATGCAGAAGAAGGATGGATTCTGTTTTGGTATCCAATCTGTTAGCCTTTGCCTTTTTATAGGTGAGTTGAGTCCATTTACATTAAGGGATATTAATGAGCAGTGATTGCTATTTCCTGTTAATTTAGTTTTCATTGTTGGTGTTGTTAATTTATGTGGTGTTTTTTCTTCTTTGGGATTTGCTGTTATGAGATCATCAATTGTTTGTGTTTTTTTGTTGGATATTTTGGGTTAAGCTTTTGTTAGATTTAATGTTTTCTTTAACTGATGAGCCTATTTCCTCTATTGTATCTTCAGTGCTTGAGATTCTCTCTTCCATCTCTTGTATTCTGCTGTTCATACTTGCATTTGTGGTTCCTTATATTTTTCTCATGATTTCTGGTTCTATAATTCTTTTGGATTGTGTTTTCTTGATTGTTTCAGTTTTCAAGTCCTGAATAGTTTATTTATTTGATTTCTTTTTCTTGGTTTTCTTTAAGTGATTTGCTGATATCTTCCAATTTTTTGATTGTCTTTTCCTCCATTTCTTTAAGGAAATTTCTCATTTCATTTTTAAGAATTTCTAACATTCTCTTGAAGTTATTTTTTAGATCATTTTCTTCTGGTTCATCCATATTTGGTTGTTCAGGTCTTGCTGTTGTAAGGTCTTTGAGTTTTACTGGTGTTGCTCTTTGTGGTGTAGCGTGTGATCCTGTCTTTTCTATTCATCTTTTCCTCTAATAGGTGTAGTTGGGGCTGTCTGAGATTCTGTTGAATAATCTTCTAGGTGCCAGTGAATCCAAAGCTCAGATGGTTGTTCCTCATGGTACATTCAGTGTCATAATTCTAGTTACCCCATTGGTTACTCAGTGTTCCTGGAGTTAGCTCAGTGCTCCTGTGCCTTGCTCTGCTCACTTGCAGTTTGCTGTCTCAGGTCAACTTTGGCCGAGGTTGCCGGCTTTGTCCTGTTTCTGTAAATCCTTGTCTCAATTCTACCACTTCCTTAAAACAATTCCAATATATTACCCATTCTTATAATCTCACCTTTTATGATATCTATATGATCCTATCCAATAAATTACTTCCTAAAGAGTTTGGGAGCATGCCAGACTACATGCAGACAATATTCACCAAACAGGTACAATACACCCTCTGGGCCAGAAGCAGTCCTAGAGCAGGAACCTCACTGGGACTTTAACACTCCAGGTGGGATTTTAGCTAGGGACCAGTTTTTTACTTGTCTTTTGGCAGGTGTCCATAAAGCTGCCCTCAAGCTAGTAAACTATAATAAGCTCTCAGAGGTCCTTGAAGATACAAGGGAAAATCCTTCTTCATATTTGGAATGCCTCCCTAAAGCTCTGTTACAATATACTAACTTAGTTCCAGAAACCACGGAAGGCAGACAGTTACTCATGACTCATTTTTTTCTTCTCAGTGCTACCCTGACATTAAGGCTAAACTTAGATGTTTGGAGAAAGGCCCCTTGACCCCGCAGACAGAAGTCTTAGAGTTGGCTTTTAAGGTATACCATGCAAGAAACGACAAAGCCTTCAATCACTGTCATGTGCTCGCCACAGCCCCCTAACTAGCTAAGGCAGCAGACCTATCTGTGCTGTCCGTGCTGCTCCCTTGTCCCCCAGGGCTCGAGAACCACCAGGCCCATGATTCAGATGTGGTCACTGAGCCTGAGCATACCCTTATCTTGTTCCCATGAGACCTTATCAAAGATGCCATAGGGAAGGACATTAGGCAGTCAATTGTTCTTGTGCACATAGTAGCATGGAGACATCAAACCCAGAAAATTCCCAAGTTGACCTTCTAGGTCTGTCCATGGACAAGTGAGGCTGCCTGGGCTCCTTTGACAGATCACAACCATCATCTGTTACAGGGAGCCATGGGTAAACATCACGGTATCAGGATGGTCCATCTCCTTTCTCCTGGACACTGGAGCCACACACTCAGCACTGAGGAAATTCTGGGGGACTACCTCTCCTTCTAATTTCCATATTGTTAGGGTAGGGGGACAGCCTTATCTACCTCAGCAGACCTCACCACTTAACTGTGTTTCTATGGGTATTTATCTCACTCATTCATTTTTAGTCATGCCAACCTGCCAAGTACCTCTTATGGGAAGAGATTTTTTAGCAAAAGTAGGAGCTTCCATTTTGTTTGCTCCTTCCATTCACCTTGCCCCAGACTCTCCAACAGCTCCCCTCCTCCTTCTTCTAGCCTCCCAACCTCCCAGCCCCAATATATCTTTTTTTCTACCAGCCTCTCTAGTGAACCCCCCAAGTCTGGGACACCCAAAACTCCTCTTGCTAAACACCATTCCCCCATAATTATCCAATTACAAGACCTTACTAATTATTCCCCGTCTCATTCCTGTATAGAAATCTTAGAGGATCTACTGCCCCACCCCTCACATATACAGGATGACAAACTGTCCCAGGACACTCATACCTGGTACACAGATGGCAGTTCCTTTTTACGTGAAGGGAACCCTAGAGCAGGCTATGCCATAGTGTAGTGGCACACAGGCACTCCCTGCCCATACCACTAATCAGCAGGCTGACTTAATAGTCCTTACCTGTGCCCTCCAGTTAGCAAAGGGACAATCTTTAAATGTTTACACAGACTCCAAATATGCCTTTCATATTCTCCTGTCCCATCCAGCTATCTGGAAAGAGTGTGGGCTTCTTACGACATAAGGAGGATCCACAACTAACTCAGGTTACATTACAGACTTGTCAAAAGCCTCCCATCTTCCCAAAACTATAGGAATTATTCACTGCCAGTCTCATCAGACTGACAGTTCCATTATTTCCGAGGGAAATAGCCGGGCTGACCAAGCAGATAGAACAGCAACATTCCAGAGCCCAAACCTACCTCATTCACCTCAGGGGTTTCATACAATACAGCCCACATTCTAGCAGATACCCTCTG